AACATTCGACATGCACGTCTGATGCGCAGCTATAATTCCCGTGAACGTCGCCCATCAATTGCTCCACCCGTGTTTGAGGGCCTGGTCTCTCTACCAAGATGCCGACTGTTTCGCCTCATCCGGCACACGGTGTTTAACCAGCACAACACTGCAGGTCACAACAACTCGCTCACCCACTGACTCACCCACTCACCAACTCACTCACTCAGCCACTCACCCAATCGCTCATCAACTCACCGACTCACACGCCCACTGACTCACCCACCCACCCATTCAGTTGCGGACACACTCACTGACCCAATCACTCATAAAGTCACGTACCCACTCACTCACTGAGCCACTCACATGCCCACTCACTCACCAATTCACTCATTCACCCACTCACTCGCTCAGCCACTCACCCAATCACTCGTCAATTCACCAACCCATTCACTCACACGCACACTCAATCACTCACCCACTCATTAATTCACTAACCCACTCACTCACTCACCTGCCCACTCACTCACCCACCCACCAATTCAGACACGGACACACTCACTCACTCGCTCAACCACTCACCCAATCACTCATAAATTCACCAACCCACTCTCTCACACGCCCACTCACTCATTCACCCACTCATACATTCACTTACCCACTCACTAAGCCACACACACGCCCACTCACTCACCCACTCATAAATTCACTTACCCACTCATAAATTGACTTACCCACTCATTAAGCTACTCATACGCCCACTCACCCACTCATCAAGTCACTCACCTACTCACTACGCCACTCACTCACCAACCCACTCACTCACCACACTGCTGGTCAATCTCACTTCGCTCTGCTTCTCCGATCGTACTGCTCCTCTGTGGAATTCCCTCCTCCTCCTCCTTCCATCATCGTCGTTTCTTCTCGCGCTCGTTTAAATAAACGTGTTAAATCTTCTCTCGTGCAACGTTGATACTTGTGCTGTTTGTTGCTGGCCGCTTGATATCTTTGGACTTTTTGGCCTTGTACTTCGCAGCCGTGTTCAAAGAACATGAACTTATTAAAAGTCTCACCGGTATAGTACACGTTTGACTATTCAATGTCCATGAAAATCAGCTGCGTTGTGTGTGTGTGTAAGTACATTTGTATACAATATGAGGAGCGGTGGCGCAGTGGTTAGCGCGCTGTCCTGGGTCTCCCTTAGGTCGACGTGATCCCTACCCTCAATCCTGGCCGTGTCCCCCGCACGAACCCTATCAGACCATTCACCGTCGGGTAATTGACGCGCAGGGATGCGTTGTCGTCTTCCCGTGTGCGATTCAACCCTCCTGGCTGCTGTAGTTCACGTGGAGGAGCCACGGTGAGCCAGACCGGACCTTCCAGAGAGCCCACGGCTCGTCAAGGTGCAGGACCTCCAATGTCTCGCTCGCTCGCGCTGCTGCTGATGCTGCTGATGCTGCGTAGAAGCTCTGCTATAGCGAGCACTACCTGGAGAGAATTTTGGACGACTCTTTTACATTTTGATTTAAAGCTTTCGTGACTGCAGTAATTCATATTCTTAGCTCTTTCGGTAAAGTCACGTTGAAGGGAAACAATAAAATAATAAAATATATATAAAACAATACAAATTCTCACGACGTTTCGAATTTTTATTGTTTTATATATATTTTATCATTTTATTGTTTCCCTTCAACGTGACTTTACCGAAAGAGCTAATAATATGACTCTTTTACACTTAGGAGATGTCTTTGAAAAGGGGGGCGTGGGGATACCCACACTCTACCCCACCACACCTGACCAGCCGATCGTCTGGGTGGGCAGATGCGATGGTGGTGGGTGGGGGTGAGGGGTTAATAAACTTCCCACCACCGCTTCAACCGCGGCACCGCGAGAGCGAACCTCCCGGGATAGTCCGACAGTCGAGTGCAATGCTGACATTGGCTCCGTACTGGCAGCATCATGCCCAATAAGAGTCTCTGATTCGTCGACGTGAGTCTACGGGTCTCAATGTGAGCCTGTGGGTCTATGTGTGAGTCTACGGGTCTCTATGTGAGTCTATGGGTCTCTATGTGACTCTGTGGGTCTATGTGAGTCTGTCGGTCTCTGTGTGAGTCTGTGGGTCTCTGTGTGAGTCTATGGGTCTCTATGTGAGTCTACAGGTCTCAATGTGAGCCTGTGGGTCTACGTGTGAGTCTACGGGTCTCTTTGTGAGTCTATGGGTATCTATGTGAGTCTATGCGTCTGTGGGTCTCTATGTGAGTCTACGGGTCTCTATGTGAGTCTATGGGTCTCTATGTGACTCTGTGGGTCTATGTGAGTCTGTCCGTCTCTGTGTGAGTCGGTGGGTCTCTATTTGAGTCTGTGGGTCTCTGTGTGAGTCTACGGGTATCTATGTGAGTCTATGGGTCTGTGGGTCTCTATGTGAGTCTATTGGTCTCTATGTGAGTCTATGGGTCTCTACGTGAGTATGGGTTTCTATATAAGTCTATGGGTCTCTATGGGTCTATGGGTCTCTGTCTATGTTGAGCAACTCCATACACTCGAGGACCTGGGTTCAATTGCAGGGGTTGTTCGGTTGAAACCTGGATTTGAACCCAGGATCTCAGAGGTGCCGGCTCAGCATCTCGGACCCTCTAAGCCAGCGGTCCCCAACCTTTTTGGTACCAGGGACCGGTTTTGTGGAAGACCATTTTTTTCAGTCACCGGGGGGGGGGGGGGGTCATCATTGGGTCTTTCCCCCTTTTCAAAGAAGCTCTCCAGCTACGTTTGTTTTTTTACTCATTGTGGCTACTAGGGGTTAGCTTGTGGGCTTACTCATTGTGGTTACTAGGGTTAGATCTTGTGGGCTTACTCATTGTGGTTACTAGGGTTAGATCTTGTGGGCTTACTCATTGTGGCTACTAGGGGTTAGATCTTGTGGGCTTACTCATTGTGGCTACTAGGGGTTAGATCTTGTGGGCTTACTCATTGTGGCTACTAGGGGTCAGCTTGTGGGCTTACTCATTGTGGCTATTAGGGGTTAGAGCTTGTGGGCTTACTCATTGTGGCTACTAGGGGTCAGCTTGTGGGCTTACTCATTGTGGCTACTAGGGGTTAGAGCTTGTGGGCTTACTCATTGTGGTTACTAGGGGTTAGAGCTTGTGGGCTTACTCATTGTGGCTACTAGGGGTTAGCTTGTGGGCTTACTCATTGTGGCTACTAGGGGTTAGAGCTTGTGGGCTTACTCATTGTGGTTACTAGGGGTTAGAGCTTGTGGGCTTACTCATTGTGGCTACTAGGGGTTAGAGCTTGTGGACTTACTTATTGTGGTTACTAGGGGTTAGAGCTTGTGGGCTTACTCATTGTGGCTACTAGGGGTTAGCTTGTGGGCTTACTCATTGTGGCTACTAGGGGTTAGAGCTTGTGGGCTTACTCATTGTGGCTACTAGGGGTTAGAGCTTGTGGGCTTACTCATTGTGGCTACTCGGGGTTAGAGCTTGTGGGCTTACTCATTGTGGTTACTAGGGGTTAGAGCTTGTGGGCTTACTCATTGTGGCTACTAGGGGTTAGCTTGTGGGCTTACTCATTGTGGCTACTAGAGGTTAGCTTGTGGGCTTACTCATTGTGGTTACTAGGGGTTAGAGCTTGTGGGCTTACTCATTGTGGCTACTAGGGGTTAGCTTGTGGGCTTACTCATTGTGGTTACTAGGGGTTAGAGCTTGTGGGCTTACTCATTGTGGCTACTAGGGGTTAGAGCTTGTGGGCTTACTCATTGTGGTAACTAGGGGTTAGATCTTGTGGGCTTACTCATTGTGGCTACTAGGGGTTAGCTTGTGGGCTTACTCATTGTGGCTACTAGGGGTCAGCTTGTGGGCTTACTAACACCACGTGACTGAGACTGAGTGCGCAGTGCGGGAAAGAGGCGCGGACGGAAGTGGTAAATAATAAAATAATGGGGGCGGGCCACGCGTGGACTCACCGCTCTCACCTCCTGCTGCTGCTGCTGTGAGGCCCGGTTCCTAACAGGCCACGGTACCGGTAGCGGTCCGCGGCTCGGGGGTTGGGGACCCCTGCTCTAAGCCACGCGTCTCGTTGTCTATTAATAGCTCCCAGATTTCGCACGCACTTTGGATCAAAAGCGTTCAGTGTCGCTGCTGCCCCAAACTGTTTGGAACCACCACCCCCAGCTTCGTCTCTTGGCATCTCCCGTCTGCCATCTCTGTCCTCGTTTAAACTGACTTCATTCATTTAAAATCACTCAAGTTTAAGTGTGAATGTAATTTGACGATATTACTGCTATTATGAAGTCTGTTTGATTTTTTTTTTCAGTCTATGATTGTGGAATGCTTTGATTGATGTCTCCTTAGCTCACTGTGGCTTTACTCAGTGGCAAATACACTCCTGATTCTGAAGTGAGTGCGTGGGTGAGGGTGCGACGAGTGGGAGATTGGGTGAGTGGTTAAATGGGTGGATTAGTGAGTGAGTGTGTGGGTGTGTGATTGGGCGAGTGTGTGGATGGGCGAGCGAGCGAGCGCATGAGTGTGTGAGTGGGAGAGTGAGTTGGTACGTGCTTGAGTATGTGGATGAGTGAGTGGGCGAGCGTGTGGGTGTGTGTATGAGTGAGTGGGCGAGTGTGTTGGTGTGTGGATGAGTGTGTGTGGGTGTGTGTATGAGTGAGTGGGCGAGTGTGTTGGTGTGTGGATGAGTGAGTGGGCGAGTGTGTTGGTGTGTGGATGAGTGAGTGGGCGAGTGTGTTGGTGTGTGGATGAGTGTGTGTGGGTGTGTGGATGAGTGAGTGGGCGAGTGTGTCGGTGTGAGTGTGTGGTTGTGCAAACGCCGCTCGTCTTGAAACAAAAAAAATAACGAGCCACTTAGCTCAATGGTCTTGAGCCAACGGGAAATAAAACGTCGGGACATCCGCTCCAAATCCTTTTCTAACCTCGCCCCCTTCCTCCCCCCAACCACCCCGCCTCTTCCTCTTCCCCTAATCAACAACAACAACACACAACAACAACAACAACGAGCGCAGACGAGGCGTCCTCTCCGTCACCGGGCGGCGACGTCAACCAGCTGGGCGGCGCCTTCGTTAACGGCCGCCCGCTCCCCGCCGCGCTGCGCCTTCGGATCGTCGAGATGTCCCGCCGGGGCGCCCGACCCTGCGACGTCTCGCGGGCCCTGCGCGTCTCGCACGGCTGCGTCTCCAAGATCCTGGCGCGCTACCGCGAGACGGGCTCCGTGCTGCCGGGCGCCATCGGGGGTAGTAAGCCGCGCGTCGCCACGCACGCCGTGGTGCGCCACGTTCGCGAGTGCAAGCGGCGCGAGCCGGCAGCCTTCGCCTGGGAGATCCGCGACCGCCTCGTAGCTGACGGCGTCTGTGACAGGTGGGGGGGGGGGGGCAGGGGATGCAGGGGGGAAGGGGGTGGGGGGTGGTTAACATAGAGATCCATAGACGAACACCAGAGACCCGTAGATTGACACGTAAATCGATAGCCTGAAATAGAGAATCATAAACTAACAGTGAGATTCACAGACTAACATAGCGACCCGTAGATTAACAGAGAGACCCATAGACTAACATAGAGATCCATAGATTAACATAGAGACCCATAGACTAACGTATAAACCCACAGATTAACATAGAGACCCATAGACTAACGTATAAACCCACAGACTAACATAGAGACCCATAGATTAACATAGAGACCCATAGATTAACATAGAGATCCATAGATTAACATAGAGACCCATAGACTAACGTACAAACCCACAGACTAACATAGAGACCCATAGATTAACATAGAGACCCATAGATTAACATAGAGATCCATAAATTAACATAGAGACCCATAGATTAACATAGAGATCCGTAGATTAACATTGAGACCCATAGACTAACGTATAAACCCACAGACTAACATAGAGACCCATAGATTAACATAGAGACACATAGATTAACATAGAGATCCATAAATTAACATAGAGACCCATAGATTAATATAGAGACCCATAGATTAACATTGAGACCCATAGACTAACGTATAAACCCACAGACTAACACAGAGACCCATCGATTAACATAGAGATCCATATATTAACATAGAGACCCATAGATTAACATTGAGACCCATAGCTAACGTATAAACCCACAGACTAACATAGAGACCCATAGATTAACATAGAGATTCATAGATTAACATAGAGCCATAGACTAACGTATAAACCCACAGACTAACATAGAGACACATAGATTAACATAGAGACCCATAGACTAACGTATAAACCCACAGACTAACATAGAGACCCATAGATTAACATAGAGACCCATAGATTAACATAGAGACCCATAGATTAACATAGAGATCCATAGATTAACATAGAGACCCATAGATTAACATAGAGACCCATAGCTGACGTATAAACCCACAGACTAACATAGAGACCCATAGCTAATGTATAAACCCACAGACTAACATAGAGACCCATAGATTAACATAGAGATCCATAGATTAACATAGAGCCAATCGATTAACATAGAGACCCATAGACTAATATAGAGACCCGTAGATAAACAAAGAAATCACATAGACGAACACAAAGACCCATAGATTAACATAGAGACCCATAGACTAATAGATACATTCAATAGACTAATATAGGGGTCCTTAGTCTAGCAGAGAAGTCCATAGATTAACAGAGAAATCCATTGAATAACATAGAGACCCATAGACTAGCATAGGGAACCCATAGATGAACATAGAGACCCGCACCAACCGCGCCCTTGCCCGGCAGGCTGAGCGTGCCGTCGGTGAGCTCCATCAGCCGGATCCTGCGGAACAGGACGGAGGGCGGCGGAGGATCGGCACCGCCTCCGCCTCCACTCGGGGTCAAAGCCGAGACTCCAGCTGACCTCCCCGCGCACTTCACGTGGCCCTGCCCTCCACCGCCACCCAGGCTGCCCCTCTCTACCCCGGAGCCGGGTGGGCCCCTCGGACTCAAGCCGCCCGCCCCTTCGGCCCTGGGCAGCCCCCTGGTGTGGCATGCACCGCACGGGGTCCGGGAGAGCCTGCACTTCGGCGCCGGTGAGAGCGGTGTGAGAGACACGGGGGAGAGACACCGGGGGAGAAACACCGGGGAGACACAGACTGGGAGAGCCGGAGAGAGCCGAGGAGAGACAGGGAGAGGCGGGGAGACACAGGAGAGAGACACAGGGGAGAGACACCGGGGAGAGACAGGGAGAGCAGAGGAGAGACAGGGAGAGGCGGGGAGAGACACCAGGGAGAGACACCGGGGAGAGACAGGGAGAGCAGAGGAGAGACAAGGAGAGGCGGGGAGACACAGGAGAGAGACACAGGGGAGAGACACCGGGGAGAGACAGGGAGAGCCGAGGAGAGACAGGGCGAGGCGGGGAGACACAGGGGAGAGACACCGGGGAGAGACACCGGGGAGAGACACCGGGGAGAGACACTGGGGAGAGACACCGGGGAGAGACACCGGGTAGAGACAGGGAGAGACTGGGAGAGCCGGAGAGAGCCGAGGAGAGACAGGGAGAGGTGGGAAGAGAGAGCCGAGGTGAGACAGGGAGAGGTGGGAAGAGAGGGCGCACGCTCACGGCTACGACGAGCCGAGAGGGAATGTGGACACTGACCGGATATATAATTTTCTATCCTCTATCTACGTCGGATCAAACCTCCCGTGAATCACGTGACTTCTGGGTGGCCACGCCCAGCCGGAACGCCTCCCATCTGCCCACCGCCGCCCACTGTGAAAACAGACGCCGCACCTCCAACTCCGTGCTGCTCACTTCCGCTGGCTCCTTCCTTCTCTCCTCTCCCTATCTACCGCTCATTTTCATCATCACCCTTTCATCATCAACCCCCTATCATCACCACCATCTCATCACCATCATCATCATCATCACTCCCCTATCATCACCACTCTCTCATCCTCGACATCTCAGCCCGGCCATTCATTCTCCTCCTTCTCCTCTTCCTGCTCTGCCTCCACTGCCTCCTCCTCTTCCTCCTCCGTCTCCTCGCTGCCCTCATCTCGAGCCATGCCCTCCTCCTCTCTGTCCGTCTTAGCTCCTTCCGCCTCGGCCTTCCTTCTCTCTGCCACTCACCCTCTGCTCTCTCCTCTATTCCCATTCCTTTATCCTTTCCCACAAATTATATCCATGACTCCACTCCCCTTCCCGTGGTGGTGTGCCACGGACACAACGATTCATTGGTTTTAAGTAGATCGACAGACAGATGGCAAAGGCGACCTTGAGCAGGACACGTATGTTGAACTTCTTTCGCACCGTACGTATCCAGCCGTGCTAAAAGGGTTGATGGCAGTGGGTCAGAGGAACAATTTCCGGAGTGGCAGCCAAGGAATGGAACGCGTTCCGGCAGGTCCGTCCACCGTGGGAGATGGAGCGGTGAGATAAGGACGTCTTGCAGGTGCCCGGTGTACTATTATTTCGCGGGTGGCAGATTGGAGAGGCCTGCATCATCCAGGAGTGGATCGACCACGGCTGATGTCGACGGCGTAAGAACAGGGTGGGGGGTAGGGGGGGGTTAAAGAGATGACGCGAAGGGATTCTGACGTGGAGCATCCTGATGGGAGAATCGCAAAGCGAAGTATTGTGCCCTGCAGCGTGGTGGCGGCGGTTGACCACGGTGATGGACGAGACGTTAACAGTGAAGTGTCTGGTAGCCTAAGGTGGGGTCCTCCTCCTGCCCTGTGCCGCAGGTGTCTCCGTGTGCGAGTCGGTGCCCTACCCTGGCAAGGTGGAGGACTGGGGCTGTGTGACTCGGCACCCATTCCCGAGCATCGGCGCTCTCCTCGATAAACCCTCCGCGGGCCTCGACATCAAGTTCCCACAGGTTCGTCACGTGGGGTAGGGGGGGGTGGGAGGCAGAGAATACGTGGGGGTTGGGGGCCTTCTGAATGACTCTGTACCTTTTATAGGGCCGCCACGGTGGCGAGATGTCAAATACCTCGCCAGGTATACAGGAGGTCGTGGTGGGTTCGATGCCGACTCTGGGAGCTGCAGTATATTTGGAGTTTGCGTGTGTCTCTCTCTCTATCTCTCCCTGTGGTCACGTGGATTTTTCTCTCCCTCCACACTGAGAAACATGCAATAAGCCGCTTCGTTGAGCTGTCATTTGGGGCCGTCAGTAAATGACGTCACACACCTAGGGAGGGGGGAGGTCAGATATTTGTGACGATGTGTGACGAGGGGGGGGGTTGAGAAATGTGACGTCACGTCAAAATGCGCAACTTTAAATAAATACAGAATTGTTATAACAACACTAATTGTTATAACAACACTAATTGTTATAACAACACTAATTGTTATAACAACACTCCTACAACATCAGAGTGCAGCGCCACATTAAATACGCACTGCATTGATAAGAGTTTAAAGCAACTTGAAGCAAGTTTTATTTTCAAAATGGAAATATGGTTTTGGGGGGGGGGCAGAGCTTTGTGACGTCATATTTGAGGGTTGTCTGACTTTTTGTGACGCCGTGTGACGAGGGGGGGGGTCAAAAATCGCGTGACGTCATTTATGGACGGCCCCTTTGTGTTCAGAGTGCTTCTGAAAAAGTGTGTGATAGCTCAGTGGGGCCTTACCTGGTAAAATAAAAATATAATTAAATGTATAGTTTTGTAGTCTCCCTTGGAACAAACATTTAGAACTATTGAATCGGGAATATGAATACCCCTTCTGAATATTTGTCAACATCTGCAAAAATTGAGTCACCGCACGATGCTGGATGATATTATTTCGTGTATGATTAACGTCATACTATTTATATCATTATCATCACCGGTAAGGGTCTATCCACTGCTGGATGAAGGCCTGCCCAGACCATCGCCATCACTGTTATTTGCGCCGTAAGGAGCGTTTGTTAGTTTTTTTTTTCCTCTGCAAACCCTCGTCAAGCGATTACCAAACACTTGGGTGCGTGAAGTGTGTGCACAGTGCCTTTATCTGCATATGCATATCATGGACTGCAGCTTGAGAAACGGTGATGCGAACCGCACTGCCTCGAAAAATTATTTAAGTCGGGTGCACGCCAGAGTGATGGGTTGCGTGCAACTCGGTTGCAACTCGATTGCACGCAATTCATCCTCGCAGCAGCCGCTTTTGCCTGGAACCGAGACGGTCACCGCATCGCGCGGCGCTTTCAGATGCGCTTCTGCGGCCGTCTGGAACGCTCTCCCTTCCGTTTTAAGGAAGCCACTGGGGAACTTTGCACTTTAAAATCATCTCGATCGAAAAGCAATTTCTTCAGAACTGCCTGTTGTGTTTAGTTTGTTGTCCTTCCCCCCGCACCTTCGATTAGCACGATTGGCGACGTACGGTGCTAAAGAAGTTCAACTTACGCCGAATTTGGGTTGCTTTCTTACTTTGGCGGAGCGGCTCATATTCCGGGTAATAGGCGACGCGAATTTTAGGTTTTGCGCTCGAGGCATCGAAGCACTCGGCGTGGCGATGGACGCGGCTCAGAGGGGCACGTGCTCATTGACGACGAACGGAGAACGGGCGCTGAAAAGTGCGCGGAGAAGCGTGGAAAGAACGCACGCTCGGAATCAAAACCGCGAGGTTGAACGATGGCTGCCTGTATTGGAGGACACACGCCGGCTAATTACATCGATAGGCAAAGTCGTCTCGCGGAAGACGTCTGCTCGCGGTCGAGAGAGACTCGGCCTTGAAGCAGCGGCCGATTTGTAGCGACGCGTTTCATCGCCTGCGAGCCGCGAGTTGGTTGGTCACGCTCCTGATCTCATCCAACCTTTATAATTGTAGACCACTTCACATGGTTACGAACATGAGACGGCCTGAACAGAGACATGATTCAGATGGCAGGGGCGTCCAGGTTGCTGAGGAATGTGTGGCCAGGATCGAGCGATGCGTAGGAGTTATGGTGGGTTAGGGAACGGAATGGTAAAGAAATGGAGGGTAGAGGGAATCGATTTTGAAATAGAGCAGAGTTTGAGGGTGTTAAGAGAGGAGAACGTAAGGATGTTCAGGAGTGGGGGGAAGGTGCTGCTTGATCTTTGACACCGAGAGAGGGGAGGGAAGAAGAAACGAAGGAGTGTAGTAGGGGGATGAGCAAGCAGCAGCAGGCTGCAGGTGCAGCGCCATCCGCTGTGGGTGCAGGAGCCAGGTGGAAGGGGGGGGGTGGAGGTAACCATACGGTGGGGGGGGGGGCTCCACTGTAAGGGGCGTGACCAGCCGCTGTAGCCACGCCCAGACACCACGGTGCTCGTTGCGCAACTGCTGGCTGAGGTGCCGACAAAGATGGCGGTCGAGGCAACGATTGAGTAGCGGGATTTTCAAAAGCGGTGGTTGTGGGGGCGATTCGACTCATCGCTCGGCTGGTTGTTGACCACCCTCTCCCCCCCCCCCCCCTTCCCCCCGGCATTTTCAGATGGGGGCAGCAGCTCTGAGCTCCTTCCCGCTGGGCTACGTGGGGCAGCACGAGAATTCGCTGGCCACGTTCATCGGCTGGGCCGACGTGATTGGAGACTCGCAGCCGGCCGCCGGGGGCACAAGACCGCAGCCGTCTCTCGACGGTGAGGAGGAGCCCCTCGACAAAGGCCTCCTCCCGGAAGAAGGTGTCGTCATCATCGTCGTCGTCGTCATCAACATCGTCATCAGCATCGTCACCATGCTCATCAACATCAGCACCATCATCATCAACATCACCATCGTCATCATAATCACCTCCGTGATCATCATCACCATCGTCATCATCACCGTCGTCATCATCACCACCATTGTCATCATCATCATCATCACCATCATCATCATAAACATCACCATCGTCATAGTCACTATCTCTATTGTTATCAACATCATCGCCATCGTCACCATCATCGTCATCGTCATCATCATCATCTCCATTGTCATCAACATTATTACCGTCATCACCATCGTCATCACTATCGTCATCATCATCATTATCGCTTGCCACGATCGTTACCAATGCCCTACTACGTCACAATGGGGCGAGTGGTGGTCGCGCGTTCGCTGGTTGTCGTTGCCGTTGCGGATGATCGAGGTTCGAAACCAGCGGCTGCCCTGATTATTACCGCGGTGCGTAACAACTACAATACTGCTACTGCTGCTGTACGCACCGCCTGCTTCACGGTGGACGTTAAATATCCCGCTGACGTTATTCGCAAGAGTCGGCCATCGTGTGTCGGCGTCGCGTGCCAAGTTTTACAAATTCATAATAAGTTCAACTTTATTTCCGTCGATTCCAAACATGGTGTACGGCATGTACTGTACACTAAACACGGGGGAATGGCTTAAAACGTTTATAAGCTCCTGTAGATGGAGATGCCACCGGTTCTTCGTGTTCCGCAGATGTAGATTCCACCGGTTCTTCATATTCTGGACGTAGATGCCACCACCGCCCATCTATTGCGCGGCGGTTGAACTTACGACTCTCGGCCAAAACAGGCAACTGGACATACAGACAGGTTTGTTCGTATCTCTAAATGTTCGTAAGTCGAATGTCCATAAGTAGAGGAGACCCTGTATTGCGAGTGCAGTCAAAGGTGTGAGCCGTAACACTGCTGTGTCTGTGTGGTTGCCTCCCACTCGTTCCAGCAGAAATCAAGAGGCTCAGTTCACATCATCACGCCAGCCACATCTACCCGGAGCCTTCGGCGTAGTCCATCTCTTCTCTGTAGAGAGGGGGTCGAAGGTGGTTTCTGTGTTCTTCGGTAATGGACACTCCCACCAACAACTCCCCCCCCCACCTCCCCTCAATCCCGGCATCAAAGTTGAACCTTCCGCAGCGAAGCTGGTATTGCTGCCCCAGGGTGCAGCGCGGAGGGGTTGCATCTACAAGGTACAAAAAAACTCGGGACGTGTCGCGGGATTCATAGGATGGGAATATCTCACAGGAGCAGAAGAGGGTGCCATAAAAGGCGTCGTCCTGAGTGGCATAGTCTGAGAGGTCCACAATTTCCTGCTGAAATGAAGCACTCGGTGGACGATTATTATAATTAATATGTTAATTACACAACCGACAATTTCCCCGGAAGAGGCTCATAGATCTGCCAGAGCAGCAGCTGCCTCGCTCGACAAGAGGACGATCCCGGGGACCAATCAGGGACAGGTGGCAACCCGATAGAGCACTCGCCCACTCACGTGCTCGCTCATTCACCCACCCAATTACCCACTCACTTCCCTTATCCACTCACCCACCCATGCAGGTGCCAGTGAGATGTTGACTCTGGAGAGGGGGGCGGTGACATGACAGGGCGACCCAATCGATGTGGCACGGCCGAAATCTTGTACGTACAAAGACAACAAAACAACCCTCCGTATAGACGTGAACCAGGCTGTTGGGGCAAGTGCTGTTAGCGAGCACCTATTAAGGCCAGCACGGCGCACGAAGAGCTGGGTGGCCAACAACCACGCCCGGTCGCCTTCGTCTCCCCGGTTGCTGATTTGTATGGCTGAGTCGACCTAGGGGAGGCCCAGGACTGGTTCAAATATTCGCCACTGTTGTTGGTTGTTCCCCGGGTTTGCAGCACAGTTTCCCGTAATCGTGGGCAGCAGTGGTGGTGAGCAAGTCAGTTTAACACTCAGTGAGGCTTTCACGACCAATATATCCAAAATAAAAGGGGGGGGGGGGTTGGGGTAGATCACGTGAATATAATTGTGTCGTTAAACCCACCACCACCCGACACAGACAATTAAGTAAGGTTTGTCACATATGCAAAACGTGCCAATGAGTTACTACTTTAGCAACGCCGGTTGTGTGTTGGAGAATAAACCCATGACATTTTACAAGTCGAGTACCGTGAAGCTTCGCTGGCGATTACAACATCCAGCATCATCGTCAGGCGATGAGGCGCATCACCTGATGGTGAGCAACAATTCTGGCATCCCAATACTGGCATCCCGATCCTGGCATCCCAATCCTGACATCCCAATCCTGACATCTCAATCCTGACATCCCAATTCTGGCATCCCACTCCTGACATCCCAATCCTGACATCCCAATCCTGACATCCCAATCCTGGCATCCCAATCCTGGCATCCCAATCCTGACATCCCACTCCTGACATCCCAATTCTGGCATCCCAATACTGACATCCCAATCCTGACATCCCAATTCTGGCATCCCAATCCTGACATCCCAATCCTGGCATCCCAATCCTGACATCCCAATCCTGGCATCCCAATCCTGACATCCCAATCCTGACATCCCAATCCTGACATCCCAATCCGGACATCCCAATCCTGACATCCCAATTCTGGCGTCCCAATCCTGGCATTCCAATCCTGGCATCCCAATCCTGACATCCCAATCCTGGCATCCCAATACTGACATCCCAATCCTGGCATCTCAATCCTCGCATCCCATTCCTGACATCCCACTCCTGACATCCCAATCCTGACATCCCAATCCTGACATCCCAATCCTGACATCCCAATCCTGACATCCCAATCCTGACATCCCAATACTGACATCCCAATCCTGACATCCCAATCCTGGCATCCCAATCCTGGCATCCCAATCCTGGCACCAATCCTGGCATCCCAATCCTGACATCTCAATCCTGGCATCCCAATCCTGGCACCAACTCTGGCGTCCTAACCATGGCATCCCAATACTGACACCCCACGCCACCCTCCGGAGTCCATGCAAATCACCTTGTCCACCTCCACCGCCTCCTCTTCCTCCTCGCAACGAGAGAAGGGGACAGGCGGCGCCACACGACGCCAATAAAAACAAACATCGCCTAGACGCCCACGCGATTCTCAGGTAAAGTTGACGAGGAAGCGAGGAGGGTGGGGGGAGGGGGCACGGGTTCGAGATTTGTTTATTATTAGCATCATTCATATAAAGTTAAACTATCGTTATTATTATTATTGTTTTTAACCAGGTAAAGCCCACCGAGCTATGTAGCTCTTTTTTTCAGAAGCGACCTGGCTATCACAAATGATAGCTCAACGAAGTGGCTCGTCATCGTGTGGACACACCCTAAACGGTTGCCGTCGATCTTAAATGCGGAGGGGAAAACTGGAGGACCAGGAGAAAAATCCACGCGACCACTTGGAGAGAGGACGTGCAGACTCCACATATACAGGCGTCAGGATCGGGATCGAACCCGCGTCCTCCTGTATACCTCGAAAGGGAGTTAACATTTCGTCACCTCGGTTGATGATGACGATAATAGCAGCTAGCGCCCTGTCCAGATAGACGTTTCTGGACCCTGATTGCCGTGGGCGGTTTGTGTATGTGTCTGTGACATGCTGAGTTCATTACGGGGGGTTAGCGATCTGCGATAATAAATCCGGCGACCCGAGTTCAATTCCCGTACACTGCCACCAACACCCGTGAAGATTGTCTGAACCGGTCCTGGGCCTCCCCTAGGTTGACTCAGCCTCAAATTAGTACCTGGTGCGGTGTGTAGTAAACATCGCCACTGGGGAGACAAAGGCGGGCGTGCGTGGTGCTCGCCATCCACCCCTCGTGTGCGGGCCTTCATAGGTGCTCGCTAATAGCACTTGCCTCAAAAGTATGTTGAGACTATAAGGGGGATCTTTGTATTTGCCTTGACATTTTTAGTTAAGTTCCTATATTTCAGATTGAAGCGCTTGTCCGTTCTTGTTCAGCACAAAGTATTTTCATATTAAAACGAAAACAATATTGAAAGCAAACAATGGCTGGGATTACATTGTATTCTATTTCATCATCCTCATTCCTTCATGAGAATCGGAAAAGGTTCATAACGTCAAGCGGCCGGTAACAAACGGAACTCTAAACAGTTGTGATCGATCCGAGTGTGTAAGATTATTATTTTTTTTATGAGAGTTTAGGAAGAGAGAATGGTGAGAGGAGGGCATTCTAAAGTGTGGAACAGGGCAAGGGAAGAAGCAGAAAGAGAAGTGATGTGACCTGCTGTGCGGTGCGTGAGTGGGTGAGTGAGTAGGTGAGTTTGCGAGTGACTGCGTCGGTGGGTGGGTGAAGTGGATGGGTGCGTGAATGAGTGGGTGGGTGAGTGAGTGGGTGGGTGAGTGAGTGAGTGGGTGAGTGAGTGAGTGAGTGGGTGAGTGAGTGGGTGGGTGAGTGAGTGAGTGAGTGGGTGAGTGAGTGAGTGAGTGGGTGAGTGAGTGGGTGAGTGAGTGAGTGGGTGAGTCAGTGAGTGGGTGAGTGAGTGGGTGGGTGAGTGGGTGAGTGAGTGAGTAAGTGAGTGGGTGAGTGAGTAAATAAGTGACTGGGTGAGTCAGTGGGTGGGTGAGTGAGTGGGTAGGTAAGTGAGTGGGTGAGTCAGTGAGTGGGTGGGTGAGTGAGTGGGTGGGTGAGTGAGTGGGTTAATGAGTTGCTGAGTGGATGAGTAAGTGAGTGGGTGGGTGGTCAACTCAGCCTCAAATGAGTACCTGATACCTTGTGTAAAACATCGCCACTAGGGAGACGAAGGCGGCCGGGCGTGGTGTTGGCCACCCACCCCCTCGTGTGCCGTTCCGGCCTTCATAGCTGCTACTCCGCAAACAACACTTACCCGAACAGTCTGTTAAGCCTACACGGGGGATCTTTGTCTTTGTGTGTGTGTGAGTCGTGCCGCGCGGTGGTGGCGGGTTGCCTTCACACAATAGGAACTCGATGAGATGTTTTTTTTTAACTCCACCCCTGAACTTGAACGTTATTGCTGTCCGGGCGGACTGGCGCTGGCTGGCTTTGTGCATTCCGCAGCTGAATCCCGGTGATTGGCAATGACTGACAAAAGAGAAACAGAAAACACCATCGGGCAGAGTTCCCAGAGTGAGTGGCTCGCCCAGGCCACTGCTGTGCGTGCAGCCGCCGTCGCCACGGTGGCAATGAGATGTTAACTTCCTCGCCTGGTGCACAGGAGGTCGTGGGTTCAATCCCGACCCCTGACGCCTGCTGCTGCTGCTGTATATTTGGAGTTTGCGTGTCTCTCCCTCTCTCTCATCATCACCACGGTGGCTAGGAGATGTTAACTTCTTCGCCTAGTGCACAGGAGGTCGTGGGTTCAATCCCGACCCCTGACGCCTGCTGCTGCTGCTGTATATTTGGAGTTTGCGTGTCTCTCACTCTCTCTCATCATCACCACGGTGGCTATGAGATGTTAACTTCCTCGCCTGGTGTACAGGAGGTCGTGGGTTCAAACCCGACCCTGACGCCTGCTGCTGCTGCTGTTTATTTGGAGTTTGCATGTTTCTCCCTCTCTCTCATCATCACCACGGTGGCTATGAGATGTTAACTACCTCTCCTGGTATACAGGATGCCGTGGGTTCAATCCCGACCCCTGACGCCTGCTGCTGCTGTATATTTGGAGTTTGCGTGTCTCTCTCTCTCTCTCATCATCATCATCACGGTGGCTAGGAGATGTTAACTACCTCTCCTGGTATACAGGATGCCGTGGGTTCAATCCCGACCCCTGACGCCTGCTGCTGCTGTATATTTGGAGTTTGCGTGTCTCTCTCTCTCTCTCATCATCATCACGGTGGCTATGAGATGTTAACTTCCTCGCCTGGTGCACAGGAGGTCGTGGGTTCAATCCCGACCCTGACGCCTGCTGCTGCTGCTGTATATTTGGAGTTTGCGTGTCTCTTCCTCTCTCTCATCATCATCACGGTGGCTAGGAGATGTTAACTTCCTCGCCTGGTGTACAGGAGGTCGTGAGTTCGATCCCGACCCTGACGCCTGCTGCTGTATATTTGGAGTTTGCGTGTCTCTCTCTCTCATCATCATCACGGTGGCTATGAGATGTTAACTACCTCGCCTGGTGTACAGGAGGTCGTGGGTTCAATCCCGACCCTGACGCCTGCTGCTGTATTTGGAGTCTGCATGTCTCTCCCTCCCCCCCCCCCCCCCCCCCGTGGTCGCGTCGATTTTTCTCCAGGTGCTCCGGGTTTTCCTTCCACATTAAATATCAATATCAGACATTTTGATTATATGACTGCTATGCATTGCCACGTGATAAAGCCCCTTCGTTGAGCTATCATTTGTGGTCAGGTCGCTATAGCTCAGCGGACCTTAGCTGGCAAAATAACAAAAATAAATATATAGTTTATAGGTGTACCTGATGTACAAGGTAAAGGCACAGTCTTGCAATTACCGTCCCGCGCCACTACAGAAGGGACCTGGCTACAACTGAAAGCTCAACGAAGTGGCTTAATCACGGAAATGTACAGCAGCCAAATGCTCTAAGCACATGCTTCTAAATGTGGAGGGAAACACCGGAGAGCCGGGAGAAAAATCCACGCGACCACAGGGAGAGAGAGAGAGACACGCGAACTCCAAATACACAGCAGGCGTCAGGGTCGGGATCGAACCCACGACCTCCTGCACACCAGGCGAGGCTGATAACATTTCCTCGCCGCCGTTTAGAACGATGGTTCTTAACCTTTCCTGCGGCACTGAATCCTTTTGGTTCTCCATCGTAAATGTTTTAAGTTAATGAATACACAGGGTTTGATGAAAACAAAGTAGTTGTAGCTTACGTGCCCGTGCTGAAATAGCATTTGGATTATTTATCTTGTTTAAAAAAAAAAACACGGCCACGTCTTGCGTGCCCCCCCCCAACCCCCACAGGTAAAAAAAAAAAAACATTACCGCTCTAAGCCAACCTGCAGTGTCCATCCACCCGCTAGGACACAGGAGCGAGGTCTCACCACGCAGTGTGG